TGTCCTTTACCTGAGTGCTGCCCTGTGACAGCAGTGCCCTTGCGCCATCAGGAATATGAGAAAACCTTGGCCAGGGGGCCCGTGCCCCCACTGGGACACCCTCTCACCTGGTCCCGGCAGAGTTCCACATTGGGCCGGTAGGTTCTGGCCTCTAGCCGGGTATGGGACAGCTTCAGGCTCAGGAACTTTGTGCGCAGATCCTCCTCCAGGTGCCGGATGTCCTCCTGCAGCTCAGCGATCTCCTCCAAGGTCTGCAGAGGACAGAGTGACTGGTTTCCACCTGCTGGACTCACCGTACACGCCTGATCCAGTGCCTCCTGGCGGGGGCATGCGGCTCCTCATCCCACAGCAGGAAATCCATGCCCTGGGAGACGCTCACATTCTTCTCTTGCCACTTGAGCTCACTGTACACTTTCTCCATCTCCCGCAGCCGCTTCCTGAAGGCAAATTCCGTTGCAACTCTCTGGGCTTCAAGCTCGTTGTTGGTCTGAAGGAGGAAACACCGGGCAAGGGAAGGGTCTATACTCACGGCTGCCTGAGGATATTACTCAAGCGAGGGGCAGGGGGCCACGTGCACAGCAGGGAACAGAAGATAAGGGCTGAGCACACACTGGGGCCATCCATTAGCTGTGGGTGGCCCGTCACCTCAGCAATAGTTAGAGCAATGGCCTCTCTCAGCTCTGTGGCTGCCTTCATCTCAGCCTCCCCTCGGTCCTTGTTGAACTGACTGAAGTCATCCCACTGCTGGAGTGTGGTGGAGCTGCAGGTGGCAGGGAAAATGGAGGTCATGAGGGTGTGGCCTGGGAGGGGAGGAGAAGAGACTGGCTGAAACACTCTTCTTACCCATCAGGGACACGTGTGGGGTCGACCTTCAGCGAGATGTTTGGGGATCTGAGGTTGAGAGAGAGACAGCCTCTGTCGATCTCCAGTGTCTCCATTTTGCCCTGATGGTCGGAGTTGAGCTGCTGTCGGACTTCCTGCAGGAGGCTGGGGAAAGCGCAGACTCCATCAGGACCATCCCCCAAGGCCCAGAGGCAGGCCTCACAGAATGAAGGGAACACTGCAGGAAGTGGAGGCTGGGATGACCCTTCCCAGCAGAAGACAATGGAGCTGCAACTGCGGAGACCAAGAGCAGCACAGCTGGATGAAAATGCTGCCACCATGCGCCTACACACCCGTGGGGCACACGGATGTAGCTGTGCTCACAAAGGCTCATACGCACACACTCACAGGAGCTACTCAGGGGTGGTGGCAAATGAGTGTCACCTCTCATGCTTCCAATCGGTGGTACTGGCTGTCCAGGGCAGGGTGGTGAGAAGTATTCCCAGCCCATGTCCAGGCAGCGGGAAAAGTGCTACAATTGATGAGTGGTTTCTGTCACAGGCACCAGAGGGCCAAAATGTAGCACGAGAGCCAGTTGCTCCTCATCCACAATATCTGTGTTCCACATTGAAGGCACACAGCCTCCAGGGGCTCGTGAACATCCGGACGACCTGCCTCTCCCTTACCACAGGTGCTCGAAGGCCTGGCTGACCTTCTGTTGCAAGGCCTTCTTGGTGGCCTCGATGACCTCCACCTCTTTATGCAGCTCATCCTCCACAGGGTCCTTCACCACATCAATGTCTCGCCGGCTTTCCCGCAGGGTCAGGCACTCAATGGCCACATCCAGAGGTAGGTTCTTGGCCTGCAGGTTTTGCTCTGCTGAATCCTTCATCTAGAAAAGAGGGCGCGGCCGGGCATGGTGGTTCACGTCTGTAATCCCAGCACTTTGGGAGGCCGAGTCGGGTGGATCACTTGAGGTCAGGAGTTTGAGAACAGCCTGGCCAAAATGGTGAAACCCCGTTTCTACTAAAAATACAAAAATTAGTTGAGAATGATGGCGCACGCCTGTAGTCACAGCTACTTTACTCAGGAGGCTGAGGCCGGAGAATCGCTTGAGCCCAGGAGGCGGAGGTTGCAGTGAGCTGCGATCGCACCACTGCACTCCAGCCTGGGCAACAGATCCAGACGCCGTCTCAAAGAAAAAAAGAAAAAAGAAAAGAAAAAGAAAAGAAGGGGCAGGGGGGCTGGTGGAGCCATCCATGGGGAAGTAGCACTTGTCCCCACTTTAGCAGGGAGCCAGTGACTCGGATGGACATGCCACTCATGACCCCCCATCAAGGGTTTCTCAACCCAGCCGTAGGGAAGGAGGGGAGGTTTTGGCAGCAGCCCCCAGGCACCCAGTCCTGGCTTCCTGCCTGTGTCAGGGCGTCGATCTCGGCATCTAAATCTGTCAGACACTTGTCCAGCATCTCCTTCCACCGGTTGACAGTATCAATCCTCTCCACCAGTCGAGTCCTGTTGTCATGTTCATCCCAAATGGTCTGAGAGAGACAGGCCAGATAAATAGGGTGTCACAGGGTTGGGGGCTATCCCTTTGCCCACCCAGCTGAGTTCCCGACCCCAACCTGGTTGTTGGTCTCATTGCGGAGCACCCGGGCCTCCTGGCGGATCTGATGGGAAGCATCTCGCTGCAGCTGGGCATTGGTGGATAGCAGGTAGCTGTTAGTGTGCCAGTCGGGCAGCTGGAAGCGCTGACTTGGCTTGACGCTCAGCGTGGCCATGGCACAGAAACCAGAAGGGTCAGAAACCCCTAGGCCTGTTCACAGACACCACCTGCAGAGGCAAAACACGGCTGCGGGAGACCTTTCAGGAGAGGTCTCCTGGATCACACGCCCCCTAGGCAGAACTTGTTCCTGTCCATTTTGCTCTGAGCCCCCTCCTGCTGGAAGCCTGCCTGGAGACAGCCCTTGCTTTGCTCAACTTTGTGTGAGGCATTAAGTTTCCCTCCCTCCTGTCCCGGGGCGGACACAAACCCCTGGACCTTGCAGGTCCTGGAGCAGGTAAAAAGGAATAATAATGGAGTCCCGGAAGCCTCGAAGTGTGTGTGAAATGCCAAATGCCTTGGCGAGGGGGGTAGGAGGATGTCAGAAAAAAATAGCCCTAATGTAGTTTCCACACCTGCCACCAGCCAACCATGCCTTGTTGAGCTTCCTTTCCTTTCTTCCCCAGGCTGTGGGCCAGACCCCGTGGGGGATCTAAGGGCAGGAGCCCTGTTCTCTCTCCAGGGACGCGTGCCTGTTGGCACTGGGGAGCTGGGGGCCGCCCCCTCCCCGTCTGGTAGCCGCCACGCCCTCCCGCCCCTTCGCCCTCGCCTACTGTTGGAGGGGGAGGCGGGACGGGGAGGGCCCCGTGGGAGGGGCTGGGGTCAAGCCGGTTCCCCGCCGAACTGCTTTCTTCCCCTCCGCAGGATTATCGCCTTTGGTTTAGATCAGTATCCCGGTCCGGCGCGGAGGAAGGGGGCGCCCCCACTCTCCTAGCTCCCTTACCTACTTTCCTGCTTCGCTCTCCGCGCCCCCCGCTCTAAGCGCCAGTGTTTGGCACCCCCGGTTGCTAGGCAACCACCCTCCCCCGCGGCCTACCTGGCCTGGGTGCTTCGCTTGGCAACCGCGGCGGCGTAGGGCGGCGTCCCCGGAGGCCTTTAGGGTAGGCGAGGGGCGGCCGGCGGAGCCTGAGAGAGAGGGGGGGCATCAGCGCAGCGCTTTCACTTGATTTACAAATTAAATGAACATTTGTTGTTTTCTCAGACAGGGTCTCGCTGGGTCGCCCAGGCTGGAGTGCTGTGGCTCAGTCTCGGCTCACTGCAACCTGGACCTCCCAGGCTGAAGCGATTCTCCCACCTCGGCCTCCCGAGTTAGCTGGGGCCACAGGCGCATGCCACCACTCCCGGCTAAATTTTTAAAAAAATTTTAGTAGAAACGAGGTTTCACCATGTTGCCCAGGCTGATCTCAAACTCCTGGCCTCAGGCGATCCACCCATCACGGCTCCCAAAGGGCTGGGATTACAAATGTGAGCCACTGCCCGGGCCTAAACATTTTTATTTTGATAAAGGTATGCATAGACATGATAGAAAATATGAAACCGGGCGCAGTGGCTCACGCTTGTAATCCCAGCTACTCCAGAGGCCCAGGCGGTAGGATTGCTTGAGGCTAGGAGTTCGAGGTTAGCCTCAGAAACAGTGGTTGCCACCAAACGAACAGCACATAGAAAAAGTAGGCCGGGAGCAGCAACTCAGGCCTGCAATCCCAGCATTTTGGGAGGCTGAGACCAGGTGGATTGCTTGAGTCCAGGAGTTGGAGACTAGCCTGGGCCACATGGCGAAATCCCCTCTCTACAAAAGATACAAAATTTGGCACTTTGGGAGACAGGCAAGTGGATCACCTGAGGTCAGGAGTTCGAGACCAGCCTGGCCAATGTAGTAAAAACCTGTTTCTACTAAAAATACAAAAATTAGCTGGGCGTGGTGGCAGGTGACTGTAATCCCACCTACTTGGGAGGCTGAGGCAGGAGAATCGCTTGAACCCAGGAGGCAGAGGTTACAGTGAGCCGAGATTGTGCCATTGCACTCCAGCCTGTGTGACAAGAGTGAAAAAAAAAAATTACAAAAATTAGCCAAGTATGGTGGTGTGCACCTGTAATCTCAGCTACTAGGGAAGCTGAGGCAGGAGAATCGCTTGAGCCTGGAGGCAGAGGTTGCAGTGAGCCGAGATCGTGCCACTGCATTCCAGCCTGGGTGACAGAATGAGACTATGTCTCAAAAATAAATAAATTAATTAAAATTAAAATCAGGTGCACTCCCCAGCAGGTCCCCTCCAGCAATGGATATATAGTTAATGTTGTTTGCAACAGTTCTTCTATTCTGTCTTGCCCAACAACTTTGCCCATCTTGAAGGTCATACAAGGAATGATCAAGGGATGATAATCATGTTTGGAGAGGGCACAACCCTGAGAGAGGTAACTGGGGTATGAGAAGCAATGCTCTAGTGGCACGCACCTATAATCTCAGCTACTCGGGAGGCTGAGGCAGGAGAATTACTTGATCCTGGGAGACAGAGGTTGAAGTGAGCTGAGATCGCGCCCCTGCACTCCAGCCTGGGAACAGAATGAGACTCTGTCTCAAAAAACAAAACAAAACACAAAAAACCAGAGAAGCAATGCTCAATATTCAACCATTTCTTTAAAAAAAGAGAGAAGGGGGAAAAAAATGTGTGTCTTATGTCTAGTACTGTTCTAGGGGTTGGAAAAATATTAACATTTAATCTTCACAACTAATAGGTGAGGTGGGCACTGTCCCCACTTTCTTAGGTAACAAAAGAGACACACTGCTAAAAAGCAGGGAGAGAAATCCAGGTGTTCTGGCCCCACCCAGAGGACCCTCTGCTGTGCTCCACACTGCCTCTCGTGGGGTGCTGGGATAGAGAGGAAGACAGGTGTGCAGGCCTGGTCCTGTTCTGAGGGCTTTGCTGAACCAGATCCTATGAGGTGGGTACTGTTACCATCTTCACTTTACAGGCAGGGAGACTGAGGCACAGGCCAGTGAGGACGTGCCCAGGTCACATCACTAACAAGTGGTACAGCCTGGATTGAAACCCAGGCAGATGGGCCCAGGGGCCAAGCTCAGGTTTAATGGATGAGAGAAAGAAGTCCCACAAGGGTCCATCAGTTGTTAAACATCATTGGAGGGATGGGAAGAACGGTAGAGAACCAAGGGCTTGGTAGGCAATTGAGGGATGAGGTTGGCTTTTGAGCAGTTTGAATGTGTTCGCAGTGGATCCAGCTGCTGCCCGGCAGGCATTTAGGTTGTTTGTTTTGTTTTGTTTTGTTTTGACAGAGTCTTGCTCTGTTGCCCAGGCTGGAGTGCAGTGGCACGATCTTGGCTCACTGCAACCTCCCTTCCTGGGTTAAAGTGATTCTCCTGCTTCAGCCTCCTGAGTAGCTGGGACTATAGGCATGCGCCAACACACTTGGCTAATTTTTATATTTTTAGTAGAGACGGGGTTTCACCATGTTGGCCAGGCTGTTCTCAAACTCCTGAACTCAGGTGATCTGCCTGGCTTGGTCTCCCAAAGTACTGGGATTACAGGCGTGAAGCCACCATGCCCGGCCTGATTTGTTAATTGCAAGTCATTCAGCAGGACTGAAGCCAGAACACTATTTCCCAAACTCCTTTCATTACAGAGTATTTTTTTCCACAGGTTATTTTGTAAACTCTAATATATGACTTGTAAACTGGACATGAACAAGAATTTGTGATATAGCCTCTTTACCAGGATTGAAGAAGACAGAAAGAAAAAAATCTTTGACAAATTAATTGCAGGAAGAAATGATCACATTTTGGCTTACATATTTTGCAACAGCGGTATAACACAAAGAAGTAAGCAAATATGGCAGAAGTGTGGCGCTTTTGGTGTCTACTTTTGACCATAGTGGTGGCCCTGGTATTCGTGGCTCCTGGGACTCCTACACATCCTGCCCGATGGAAGAAGGTGTTGGCCAAAAAGGTCAGCCAGCTGATGGATTGGACCAAGAAAGACAGAGTGATAAGAATGAGTGACACCATGTTCTATCATTTTGTATTAGATGCACCAAAAAACTATTCTGTTATTGTGATGCTTACTGCTCTCCACGAGTTCAATTCATGTGTCATGTGCAAAGGTGCTGCCGAAGAATTTCAGATCTTGGCAAACTCCTATCAAGGCCCTGGTGCATTCACCACAAAGGTATTTTTTGCAATGGTGGATTATGATGAAAGCCCTGAGGTCTTTGAAGCGCTCCAGGTGACGTCAGTTCCGAGTTTCTTCCACTTTTCTGCCCAGTGGAAATTTACAACAGATGACATTTATAATTTGAGAGGAAGCGATATCGTTGCTGACCAAATGGCTGAATGGGTAGCAGAGAGAACACATGTCAGCGTCAGAATCAGACAGCCTACAAATTATCATGGTCTCCTCAAGCTGGGGATACTTTTGGCTCTCACTGGCGGACTTGGGTATTTCTTGAAATGGAATAGGAAATCTATTTCTTGCAGAATCTTGTGCGAAGTTTTAACTCTGTGCTTTGTGATTGTGATGACGTCTGGTCAAATGTGGACTTATATAAGAGGAGAACCATATGTCCAAAGGGACCCTCGCACAGGACATAAGCATTATATCAGCAAATTTAGTCAGGCTCAGTTTGCAGCAGAAACATTCATTATTTCCCTGTTTAATATGTGTGTTACCCTGGGAGTGGTGCTGTTAGATAAGGCTGCCACCTCGACGATGAACATCATAAAGAGAAAGATGATGTGTCTGGCTGGTATGTGTCTTGTTGCCATATTCTTCAGTTGGCTGCTTTCCCTCTTTAGATTTAAAGTAACTGACTATCCATACAGGTTTCTCTGGGATTAAAAAGGATCCTACAGGCATAGACAATGAAGCAAGAAATTTGAAAAAAAAAAAAAGTGAAGCAGAAAAATGCAAACTCGTAACTTTTTAAAGTAATTGAGATTTCACCAAAAGAGACCATAAGTGCCTTAAGTGCTTTCAAAATCTGTGAAGTATTATAGTTTGTGTCTTCCCTGTTCTTAATTTTTCTCCCCCAGTGTTATAGATTACTTCAAGTTGAATTATTAAAATCTTTAGAGAGTACAACTTTCATCGAATCAGAACAATGTTTTACAATGTTTAAAAGTACTTCAGTTAATATTAATACTTGGTTAGCTGATTTTATTCTAATACGAAAAATAATCTTTTTTCTTTTTTCTTTTTTCTTTTTTGAGATGGAGTCTCGCTCTGTTGCCCAGGCTAGAGTGCAGTGGCGCGATCTTGGCTCAGTGCAAGCTCCGCCTCCCAGGTTCCCGCCATTCTCCTGCCTCAGCCTCCCAAGCAGCTGGGACTACAGGCGCCTGCCAATGCGCCTGGATAATTTTTTGTATTTTTAGTAGAGATGGGGTTTCACCATGTTAGCCAGGATGGTCTCGATCTTCTGACCTCGTGATCCGCCCGCCTCGGCCTCCCAAAGTGCTGGGATTACAGGCGTGAGCCACCGCGCCCGGCCAAAAAATAATCTTTTTTCTTTTTCTTTTGAGGCAAGGTCTCCCTCTGTTGCTCAGACTGGAGATCAGTGACACAATCTCTGTTCACTGCAACCTCCGCCTCCTGGGTTCAAGTGATTCTTCTGCCTCAGCCTCTTGAGTAGCTGGGATTACAGGCGTGTGCCACCACGCCCGGCTACTTTTACGTATTTTTAGTAAGGACGGGGTTTTGCCATGTTGGCCAGGCTGGTCTTGAACTCCTGACCTCAAGTGATCCGCCCCTCTTGGCCTCCCAAAGTGCTGGGATTACAGGCATGAACCACTGTACGCAGCTGAAAAATAATATCTTGACAAGGTATTCTCACACCTGGCCACTGAAGATAATTATTATCCCTCCATGGCAGTGTACATTTGCAGTCTGTTTTGTGGGTGGAGAGAGCAGTTGTATTATGTTGTCCCCTGAAGTTTAAATACCTATGTTTAGAGTACACTTCCAAAGCTCAGAGGCAGATACATACTTCTTAGTACTACTACATATCCGTCTCTCCTACTGGAATACACCAGTATGTTTCTTTTTTTTTGGCTGTTTTTTTCTTTTACCATGCTTTTTTTTTTTTTTTTTTTTCCTTTTTCTTTTTTCTCAAGACGGAGTTTCACTCTGTCCCCCAGGCTGGAGTGCAGTGAATGGCATGATCTCGGCTCACCGCAACCTCCGCCTCCCAGGTTCAAGTGATTCTCCCACCTCAGCTTCCCAAGTAGCTGGGATTACAGGCGCACGGCACCAAGCCCAGCTGATTCTTGTATTTTTAGTAGAGATGGGGTTTCACCATGTTGGCCTGGCTGGTGTTGAACTCCTGACCTCAGGTGATCCGCCTGCCTCAGCCTCCCAAAGTGCTGGGATTATAGGCGTGAGCCACCGCACCCGGCCCTTTAACTATGCTTCCTGATAGTTGTAGAAATTACAAACCAGTTAAACACCAGATTACAATTTATCTTTGATTATTAATTACCTTTTATCTGGAAAGATTTCAGATATCTTTGTTTTTCTTTCATGGGGCCAATCTCTAACAAAATAGTATTTCCTATTTCTGTGTTGACTTTGTTGACTTGAGGTTGTTTTCCATTTACTTTAAATCTAAGAGAAAAATAGGTATAAAGACATTTGAGAAGATAAATAATAATTTCATTCACCCATTCTATTTAGGAGCCTGCTAAAATATCAAGTCATTTCCAAGATGCAGAAATACAAAACTGAACAGCCTAATAGCATTTTTGTAATTTTAGTAAAATCTGTTCCATTTCAGCCTTTCTTCCCTCTTAGTGGAAAAACGAGGTACCAATTTAAAGACGTTTTCCCCTTTTATCCTCCTTCTGTAATATGTTGATAAAGTCCTAAACATCTTACTAACATGCTTGGCAAATAACAGCAAAGATTTAAGTGGAAGATTTTTTTTTCCTTATTTATTTATTGAGATAGTCTTGCTCTGTGGCCCAGGCTGGAGTGCAGTGGTGTGATCTCGGCTCACTGCAACCCCTGCCTTTGCCTTCAAGTGATTGTTGCCTCAGTCTCCCGAGTAGCTGGGATTACAGGCGCCTGCCACCGTGCACAGCTAATTTTTGTATTTTTAGTAGAAACGAGGTTTTACCACGTTGACTAGGCTGGTCTCGAACTCCTGATCTCAGGTGATCCACCCACCTTGGCCTCCCAAAGTGCTGCGATTACAGGCGTGAGCCATCGTGCTGGCCTGTTATTTATTTATTTATTTTGAGACGAAGTTTCGCTGTTGTCGCCCAGGCTGGAGTGCAGTGGTGCGACCTCAGCTCATTGCAACCTCTGCCTCCCGGGTTCAAGTGATTCTCCTGCCTCAGTCTCCAGAGTAGCTGGGATTACAGGTGACCGCCACCATGCCCAGCTAATTTTTGTATGTTTAGTAGGGATGGGGTTTCACCATGTTGGCCAGGCTGGTCTCGAACTCCTGACCTCAGATGATCCACCTGCCTCGGCCTCCCAAAGTGTTGGGATTACAGGTGTGAGCTACCGTGCCCGGCCCCGGCCTGTTGTTATTTTTAAGACAGAGTCTCACTGTGTCGTTGCCCAGGCTGCAGTGCAGTGGTGTGATCTTGGCTCACTGCAACCTCTGCCTCCAGGGCTCAAACAATTCTCCTGCCTCAGCCTCCCTAGTAGCTGAGGTTACAGGTGTGCACCACCATGCCCAGCTAATTTTTTTGTATTTTTAGTAGAGATAGGTTTCACCATGTTGGCCAGGCTGGTCTTGAACTCCTGGCCTCAAGTGATCTGCCCACCTTGGCCTCCTAAAGTGCTGGGATTATGAGCCGGGCATGAGGCACAAGGTTTGTTATTAAATCAAACTCCACCCATCTCTCTGGAAATTGCCATTTTAGAAATGTGAGAACTGTGATTGTGAAAATGTTTTTCAAGCAACAACAATATAATGTCACATTAGAAGGATTCTGTCTTAAATTGGGACTGGCTTGGCTATTTACAGTCAAGTAACCCTCTTTCAAGGTCTGGTAGAATATTTGAAGGTTTTATGTGAGTGTTTGCCAAGGGAGTTGAGTTTAATGGCCCGGAGTAAATTATGATTAATATTTTTAGCAGGAGGTGACTGGGAACAGTTGACCTCTCACAGCCATTTTTTATTGTTCATTATTCCAGAGGAAACTGCTTGCCTTTGACCTTTTTTCCAGCTTGCTTTTCTGCTGGTCCTGTACTTGTCTCAGGCCAAAGAAATTTGTGTTGAGATTGTCAAGGCTGAGATTTGGGTGAGGCTAACTCGTTTCGCACAGCATACTCGTCAGAGAAATAACAGCCTACTTCAACTACACAGCTGCAGTTGATTTGCCCTGGAGGTTAAAAAAACGATTCCTACCACCCCATCTGCCCTTCTTATCTTCAAAACCCACTCTTTTTCCATAAGAAAGAAAAGTCTCCAGGGTAAAATAAATGGCAAGTAACTTTGCTGCATTCAGTAAAGTGATATATTTTTGTGCAGATTTTCAAATTAATATCTAAAGAATCTTAGACAACAGTAATAATTTTATGGTCTAGATAGCACCTATGAATATGTAGTTTTTAATACTATTCAAAGGGATACCATAGCTGGCAAACTTTCTTAGTCTAAAATCTTTATACAAGCACCAATATAAATAGGAAAAAATTAAGATTAAGCTTACAAAACAAAATACAAAAAATAAAAAATATAAAAAGATGGTTAATTTTTTTTTTTGAGATGGAGTCTTGCTCTGTCGCCAAGGCTGGAGTGCAGTGGCCGGATCTCGGCTCACTGCAAGCTTCGCCTCCTGGGTTTATGCCATTCTCCTGCCTCAGCCTCCCGAGTAGCTGGGACTACAGGCGTCCGCCACCTCTCATGGCTAGTTTTTTGTATTTTTTAGTAGAGACGGGGTTTCACCATGTTAGCCAGGATGGTCTCGATCTCCTGACCTCGTGATCCGCCCGTCTCGGCCTCCCAAAGTGCTGGGATTACAGGCTTGAGCCACCGCACCCGGCTCATTTTTTTTTTTTTAACAGTCTCGCTCTGTCTCCCGCCTCGGCCTCCCAAGTGCTGGGATTACAGATGTGAGCCACAATGCCTGGCCAGTTAATCTTAATTTTACATCTGTATAAAATACATGTGAAAGCCATCTGAGTGATGGTGCTGACTGAAATCCTGTCTGGTGCAGCATCAGACCATTCCTACGTTCTGTTTTATTGTTTTTGTTTTGGAAGACAATATGCAAATTCTGTTTGGCAACATAGTTACAGTAAAGGAAGAGTAATATTATACATTTAATAGTTTCAAGTGCTTTTGTTTTTGTTTTTGACACTGGGTCTCACTCTATCACCCAGGTTTAAGTGTAGTGGCATGATCATGGCTCACAGCAGCCTCCATGTCCTGAGCTCAAGTGATCCTCCCACCTCAGTCTCCCATGTAGCTGGGACTACAGGAGCATGTCACCATGCCTGGCTAATTTTTGTAGTTTTTGTAGAGACGGGGTTTCACCTTGTTGCCTGGGGTGGTCTTCAACTCCTGGGCTCAAACAATCCACCGGCCTTCGACTCCCAAAGTGCTGGGATTACAGGCATGAGCCACCACGCCCAGCCTCAGGTACTTTTGAATTGGCCTATTTTTAAAATCATTTAGCAAAGCCTATTAAAATATTGTTTCAGTTGAGAACCGAACATATTGGACTTTATGATACTAAGCCACTAAGGTATCTGTTTTGTTTATAATTATATATTTTGAACCCCAGCGTTATTCATAAGGAAAAAACATTTTTTTTGAGATTGGGTATCGCTCTGTCACCAGGCTGGAGTGTAGTGGCACAATCTCGACTCACCACAACCAACCTCTGCCTCCCAAGCTCAAGTGATCCTTCCACCTCAGCCTCCCGAGTAGCTGGGATTAGAGGTTCACTATCATGCCTAGCTAATTTTTTGTATTTTTTGTAGAGTTGGGATTTCACCATGTTGCCCAGGCCAGTCTCAAACTCCTGAGTTCAAGCAATCCACCTGCCTCGACCTCCCAAAGTGCTGGGATTACAGGTGTGAGCCACTGCACCCAGCCCAAGAAAGGTATTTTAATAGGGAAAAGTACAAAAA